AAGCAGAATTACATGGTTTCATTTTGAACACAAGTTACATATTGATACTAATTTATTAATATTTATGTACATAAGCAATTAATTTAAATTGCTAAACAAACAGAGCAAAACAGCTCTGAGACAGATCCTTCAGGTGTTAATTCAGCACAGTGCCATCTAAAATTCTGCCAGGGGCTTTGGGTCAAGTTTTCTAGAGATAAAATTAGTGCTAAATAAATTTTTAGTATCAATGACCTGTTCTACTCATTTAGTAATTAAGTAGTTTGGGGCTGGTTATTTGATATAAATTCTGACCTGAATTTGAGCTAGGACTTCCTAGTTTATTCTTCTGCTTCCCTGATACAATCACATGTAGTATCTTCTGCAAATTCTGCAAATTGACTATATTGGTCTGTACAAAAAATGCATAGGCATTCTGTGCTTTGCTCATCTATAAAGAACAGTGATAAAAGTCAGTAGCAATAAATCTTTAGAGCAAAACACAGAAATGCATTTGACTGTATAACCCATGTGTCAAATGAAGATTTCTTTTCTAGATCAGCCTCCCTTAGAGGCATAAATTAGGCTACATTTCTGTAATAGATTTTGCAGCACAAAGTCATGTCTAGTCATGCCTTTCTGTAATTCCACCTTTTCCTAGGCTTTAGTGACCCCATTTAGATTGACTTCTAGATTAAGACTGTTCTGAAAGAGTGATACTGCAGACACCAGGCTCATGCCTGTTAAGCTTTTCGGTGAAAGATGATTTTAAATACTTTCCCATTATACTGATATGATGTGAAATGTAGTTTGTTTAGGTATCTATCCAGTTTATGTCTCGGTCTCTTCTTTTGAGTGCAGTCAGCTTGATAACCTTCAATATGACATTCTCAAACTAACTAGAATTAGTGAACAAAACTCTCAGCCCTTTCAGAATCTCTCAGATTTGTAGAAGTAATTTTTGTCCTCTTCTGCTTAAATCTTGCTGATAGTATGGTTTAACAAACTTCATAGCTTGGGTGAAATTTAAGACTTTTTTGTTTTAATAATCTGTAGAATATGATTAAAAACTCAACTAGTAGATATTATAACTCTTCAATTCTATACATATTTTGTTTAGCTAGCTGGATATGTACTGATATAAAGCTTAAATACTGTTAGAAATACCTGAAACAAACTTTCATTCTAAAAATCTACTACTACCATTGTAATTGATAAAGACTTTAATGAAAGTGTCTAAAGATCTGATTCAACATTTCTGGTAGGAATTCCACTGCATGCTGAAAAGAAAGGATGGCATTTATCAGAAAATTTTATATGCCCAAAACTTCTGCAGGTTTACATTATATCAGTGGAAGCTAAATTTAAACATTACATCCTAAGAACTATCTGTCATAGTCTCACTTATCCTGAGGCCTCAACAGCATTTCTAGTAGCTTCTATGAGCTTCCTTTTACAAATTAACCTTTATAGCTTTCTAATAAGAGTTAATTTCTGCTCTTATCTGTACTAACTCTTGGTGTTTAGCTATGTAATAGTCTCTGCAGCTGACACAAAGTTTTTATGTTTAATGAATAGAGAATATTTTTATCTCAATAAAGGAAGTTGTAAAGGAAGGGGTTTTTTTATTTGTGTGGTTGGGATTTTATTTTTTTTCCCCTGTAACTAGCAGAAGAAGAAATGGTCAGTAATCATTCCCAATCCTAAAGAGAACTGGAAGAATAATTTATGCTTACCAAGTAAAAATATTCTTAATTCAGTTCACACGAGAACAGGTATGGGACCTAATCTCCAGGCTAATATAGGTTCAAAGACCTGGTTTAGATGTTCACTTTTTAATGGACTACATTTTGACAGCATGGAAGTGAATTACAATTCTCAAATAATAATCAAAACATATCTTGATTCATATGTTATCAACAATAATATAATAACAATAAACTCATATCTTGAAACAGTTTCACAGTTTCTAAGAAAAAGATTGGGGGGAGGCACATTGTAGCAATAGATAAAAATAATGGTGAAATTCCTTGGTGGTCACCTCCCGCTCTACTTACATTGTATCTAGTGAATGAAGACGTGATGAATTCCTACCTTTCTGAACTGTAGGGAAAAACTGGGGCTGGAGGGAAACAGTGGCTAAGCAGAATTAGGAAGCTAAGCAGGCATTAGGATCCTCCTTCTGCAGGACCTTAATTGCTGTTGGGGAGAGGACAGGAAGAGCACGTATCTTGGGACAGACAGATTCCAAGGGCAGCCAACAGTTATACCTGACTGGA